TAATTATTTTTTTTACTTAGGTTAGGATGTTAGGTTACTTGTGGTAACCCCTTGTAAGCTCTTTTTTTTTAATCCCCTGGTGTGGGTTTTTTTTTTTTTAGTGAGGGGATGCGGGCTATCGTCCGCCTGTTTCTTGGACCTATGCTAGCCTGACTGACTGCTGTCTCACTCTAAGTTTAGGGTTTGGCTTTTGGTCACGAGAAAAGCTGAGCTCTATCTAAGAGTTGGATGGTGGAGAGGAAAGGCGGTCCCATTATTTTGTGCCATGGCTGCACGGTTACCACTGGGAGGTGGCAGCCTAATCCTGAGCCTTCTCGGGGTGGGGGTGTGGCATGCAAAGAGTACATAACCTTTATTCGGCACATGTACACACCCTCATTTACAGGCTATCTCCCCCAACCAGCGAACCAGGTTGCTAAGAGTTGATGATGGGGCCCCGTTGTTCAACTAGTGACCAGGTTCTAGCCAATAAGAAGATGGTTTTGGCAATCGCAGAGGTTATGTGGGTACCACTCTCCTGTCTGCCCTTGTCATTCCCATTCTAGAGCTGGTTGAAGCATGGTCTGCTATCTTGTGGCTTGTATTTCTGCCTTGCTTACCGTGGAGTGCACTATACTTATCACTGTACATAGTGTACATATTGCTGTTCTAAATTGGTGAAGGATAATATAAGTCTAAACTTTTTCTGCTGTGTTTATTTTGCTCCCTTAACACCCAGGATAACAGGCTATTTGGATTCCTGGGTTGTAATAATGAAAATCACCCTCACACAGCTATTGCAAGCCGTGCTGGTGACTATTACAACGAAAATGTTGTGAACCACTTTAGACAAATTATAAAGGAACGGGAGGTACAGGCCTCTATGGACAGATATGCTGTGCGACAGAGGTCCAGTGACTCTCAAGCTGGTCCTAGTGGCATTAAAAGAACAAGGGAAGTAACCCTGGAAAAGGACTTGATACCTCAAGTCCTAATGGAAGGGGATTCCCCTTCTAAACATTAACAACTTCCACACTCTCCCCTCCTCCCATCCCATCAATCATCACCAGATCTTCAATAAAGGTAAGTGTCAGTTTGTGTGTATTAAAATTAATATTTCATGTGGTAAAAAATGTTTTTTTTTTCATACTTTGGGGTGTCTTGCATGGATTAATTCGATTTCCATTATTTCTTATGGGGAAAATTAATTCAGCTAACGATAATTTCAGCAAACGATGAGCTTTCAAGAACGGATTAATATTGTTAGCTGAGGGTCCACTGTACAGAGGACCACCGCATAGCGACTTTACTCCGTGCAAGAGGGCTCATTGTTATGCGAAATGATCGGTATGCGAATGAATTTTCCCCATAAGAAATAATGGAAATCAAATTAATCCGTGCAAGACACCCAAAAGTATGAAAAAAAAATTTTTACCACATGAAATATACATTTTCCTACACACAAACAGAAGGATACATGCACAATAGTAGAGTAGTACATGCACAATATATATTGTGCATGTACTACTCTACTAAATGAAGAATAAATGACACTTACCTTTATTGAAGATGCAGCAATGACTGATGAGACACTGTGTCCTGGGAGTGCCTTTTCCTCCTGAGTACTGTAGGCCCTGTTTGGCATTTTCTTCCAGAACAGGCCTTATCACACTGTGTACGCCACTACGATTCTTAAATCTCTCAAACCAACCTTTGCTGGCTTTAAATTCACCAATATGAGCACTAGTTCCAGGCATTTTTCCCTGTTCACCTGGGTGTTAGTCGACTGGTGTGGGTTGCATCCTGGGAGACAAGATTAAGGACCCCAATGGAAATAAGTTAGACAGTCTTCGATGACACTGACTTTTTTGGGTTATCCTGGGTGGAAAATCCTCTGGGGTTAATTGTTTCTTGGTATTCTCAATAAGCCACACCAACAACGGTGCTACAGCAGCAGCAGCAGCAGCTGACAGTGCTACAGCAGCAGCAGCAGCTGACAGTGCTACAGCAGCAGCAGACGATGCTACAGCAGCAGCAGCAGCTGACAGTGCTACAGCAGCAGCAGACGATGCTACAGCAGCAGCAGACGATGCTACAGCAGCAGCAGACGGTACTACAGCAGCAGCAGACGGTACTACAGCAGCAGCAGCAGCAGCTGACAGTGGTACAACAGCAGCAGCAGCTGACAGTGCTACAGCAGCAGCAGACGATGCTACAGCAGCAGCAGACGGTACTACAGCAGCAACAGACGGTACTACAGCAGCAGCAGCAGCAGCTGACGGTGGTGCAACAGCAGCAGCAGCTGTACCACCAATAGTAGCGATGGTTGATTGGAGTTTATTATACAACCTGGCCAGCTCGGAGACACGCACTCCACTTTCATACTTATCAATGATATTTTTCTTCATCTCTATAGTAATTCTCACCCTTATTGCTGTAGGGTTGGCACTAGAAGCTTTCTTGGGGCCCATGGTCACTTATTTTGCAGATAAAATCACCAAAAACACTGTAATAATACGAAATGTTCCGATTGTATGCTTGGATGTTACCGCGGAGGCTGGCTGGTAAACAATGCCACCGGCGGCACATGTGAGGCTGGCTAAGGGCGCACATTGGACGCGTCTCGGACAAAGAGCGGTGAGCGGGTTTTTGAGCGGTATGCGAGGCAAAATTTTTGTGATAAAAGCGAGCGGTATGCGGATTGAACGTTATGTGATGCGTACGGTATGCGGGGGTCCACTGTATATTGTTTATTACGTCATATTAAATGAATTGTGATAGATAAATAATCCGTACAGTTGATAATAGCATCATATTCGAGTATTTTTTCTCTGGCCAGAGTGCAGGAATGGATTAATGGCTTTTCAATTAATTTAAATGAGGAAAATTAATTTGATATACGAGTAAACTGAGTTACGAGTTAGCTCCTGGAACGGATTAAACTCCTAAGTCAAGGTTCCACTGTATATGGGAGGCCTGGGGACATAACTAATGAACAGAGGAATTTTTTTTTTTTTTAGTACCAGCAATGTCTACACTGTTTATTCTAGAACCTTAATTTATAAATTGGCAATTTTTTAATTTTCTGTGAAAATGGCCAAATTACTGATTTCTATCACATTTTTGGGTAGTTGAAATAGGTAAATGGGTGATTTTTGTATGCAATCAATGGAATATAAGGAATAAACTGGACCCCCGCTTAACGATCACCTCCCAATGCGGCCAATTATGTAAGTGTATTTATGTAAGTGCGTTTGTACGTGTATGTTTGGGGGTCTGAAATGGACTAATCTACTTCACAATATTCCTTATGGGAACAAATTCAGTCAGTACTGGCACCTGAACATGCTTCTGGAATGAAAAAATATCGTTAATCGGGGGTCCACTGTACTAGTGAAATTGCTATGAGTTTGGTCAACTGGAACAATGGAATTGGGCTAAAATAGGACTCAAAACAAGCAAAATTGCCGATGTGTAAATATCGCTGAGGCTGCTAACTTTGCAAGAGAGTAATTCCTTAAGTTCTCCATCAAATTTTGTATTTTTGGTTTCATTACATATAGAAAAAAGATTACCATTTCATAAGAGAAAAAACATTTTTGTTTTGTAAATTCCCAGACCCTGAGAGCAATTCTCAGAGCAGGGGATCCAACCCTCAAAGGGTTAAGGAAACACCCAATGTTTTCACCCTACCAGGGATCAAACCACAGACCTCAATGAGATAGCTGAGTGCACTACCAACCAAGCCTACCAATGTTTTATTACATGCATACTACATTATTTGTACTGCAGAAAAAAAAAACTATTGTATATTAAACAGAAAATTTATGCCATCATTCTGTAGAAAAACAGCTAATAATGAAGTGCAAGTATTTCATGATAATGACATAATGGTGTTTAGATGGTATGATACAAGGGATGTAACAGTGGTGATAACCACACACAGGCATGTAATGAAACACTGGAAAGGTGCATAGACACACAGAAGAACCTATTGAAAAATCACCTGCAATTAACAATTACATAAACAATATGCATTTAGTTGACAAATCAGACATGCAAATTGAATCAGTTGATTGTCTTAGAAAGTTTCAAATAGTATACAACTTACTTTTCCATCTCTTAGATGTAACAATGCTAAATTGTTACAATTTGTTCCAAGTGAAAGCTGGAAGCAAGTCAAAATTCAACAAATTCCATTTATCTGTTGTAAGACGGAAAACAGAAACACACCAGGAAGCCAAACCATCAATTCATCGACATATCAATGAAAGTGATCTATTTCGACTAAAGAAAGGTGTTTGCCTGCCTTCGACTATTCCTTCCAGAGATAAGAAGAAAGCACAGAAGAGTTGTTATTTGTACATGATTGGTACCAGAAAACCAAAACAAAGTAGAGATACACGATATTGTAAAACATGAGTTGTACCACTCTGCCTAGCTCCAAGTTTCAAGGAAAAAAACTGTAATATAATGAAATATACTGAAAATAGTGTTAGAACAATAAACACTCAACAGATATAAGGTACTTCTTTGTTCACAGCGAATAATTTGTAGTGATAACTAATTTATGCAAGTGGTGTGAAGTGTTTCTCTCTCTATTTACTGTACAAAAAAAATACAGAGAACCATATATTATAAAGTAAAAACACTGAATATAGTGTTACACACTGAAAACATAAAAAACTGAATAATTTTGCATAATTAACCAAGAAAATAAAAACAATAACTATAGCATGCTAGAACTGTGACAATGCTGCCACTGCAGGGTCATTTTCTGCCAACTTCAACACTGCATAAATCTGTAAGTTTTAAGCATAATTTTTCTTTTTTATCTTAATTCTCCTCAGAAAAATGGACACTTTTAGATGGTTAGAAATGTTTTGCATATTTTTTTTTTTTAAATTCTGCCATGCCACCAGCCCTTTTTTTTAGTTGGGTCGGTCATGGTTCAAGAGTGAAGCAATGAACTAGGATCACTAGAGTGTTCCGTTGTATTGGAACCTAAAGTGAGTACTTACATCGACAGGGCATGGCAACAGTGATATCAATGTTGATCTTGAGTTTTTCGGTAAAATCTGCATCTGGGGTGAAGGTGTAGGTGAAGGTGGTATCCATATAATACATCATCTCCATCACCACCAACCATGACATCACCAGTAAGCTGATCACTAAACCTGTAAACATCAACATCTGGGGTGAAGGTGAAGGTGGTGTCCATATGTAATACATCATTATCACCAGCAGCCATGACATCACAGTGAAGGTGAAAGTGGTCACCGTGTAATACATCATCATCAGTCATGATGTCACAGTGAAGATGAAGGTGGTCATCATGTAATACATCATCAGCCATGACATCACAGTGAAGGAGATCTCCATGTAATACATCACTATCATTATCAGCCATGACATCACAGTGATGTTATGAGAAAAATCAAAAGATCAGAAAGGCAAAACAAATACAGGAGACTGGTCATGAGGAAAGGTGAGGGAAAAAAAAAGTCAGGTCAAGTCACATGTTCTAGAACATTTGACAATGTACTGAGAAAGGCAGGAATCTACAGAAGCAAAACTGAACCTAAGACTCAAGTTAGGAAAGTTGTGTATAAATGATGATTCAACAAGATAATACCTTTAAATAACATTAAAATATTTTATTTTACCATGATACATGTTTGTACAAAGGAGTGAAACAATTTGGTGAACATATCAAAAGCCCCTTTATATGCAGAGCTTTTCAGGCAAACTTAAGACTAACTTAAGATTAATAAGATAATAACAGTGTGGAATTGAACATATGGTCATTAGGTGAGTTACAATGAATACAAGAAAATTGAATATTCAACTAGTTTACGCTATATGGCTTTAACCCTTAAACTGTCCAAGCAGATCTACATTCACATGCGTAGTGCTCCAAAAGTAGATCTACATTTTTTACATATTTTCAAATATAACAAAAAAAAAGGTAGATCAAACTTTTTTTTTACATGTTTTCAAATGTAACAAAAAAAATAAAAAAGATCTACAGTGGACCCTCGACCAACGATGGCATCGATTAACGATAAATCCGACTAGCGATACATTTTATCGCAAAAATTTTGCCTCAACTAGCGCTAAAAAACCCGACCAATGCTATTCGTTCCGTTTGAGACGCGTCCACTTTGGCCTGAGCGCGCTTCACTTGTCCCATGGGCGCCAGTGTTTACAAGCAAGCCAGTCACTGCGGTCGCTTCCAAACATACAATTGGAACATTTCATGTTATCACAGCCTTTGTAGTGATTGCACCTGCAAAATAAGTCACCATGGGCCCCAAGAAAGCTTCTAGTGCCAACCCAACAGCAAAAAGGGTGAGAATTACTATGGAGATGAAGAAAGAGATCATAGCTAAGTATGAGAGTGGAGTGCGTGTCTCCAAGCTAGTCAGGTTGTACAGTAAACCCCAATCAACCATCGCTACTATTGTGGGCAAGAAAACGGCAATCAAGGAAGCTGTTCTTGCCAAAGGTGCAACTATGTTTTCAAAACTGAAATCATAAGTGATAGAAGATGTTGAGAGACTCTTATTAGTGTGGATAAACGAAAAACAGATAGCAGGAGATAGCATCTCTCAAGTGATCATAAGTGAAAAGGCTAGGAAGTTGCATGAGGATTTAATTAAAAAAATGCCTGCAACTCGTGGTGATGTGAGTGAATTTAAGGCCAGCAAAGGTTGGTTTGAGAGATTTAAGAAGCGTAGTGGCATTCATAATGTGTTAAGGCATGGTGAGGCTGCCAGTTCGGACCACAAAGCAGCTGAAAAATATGTGCAGGAATTCAAGGAGTACATAGACAGTGAAGGACTCAAACCTGAACAAGTGTTTAATTGTGACGAAACAGGCCTGTTTTGGAAGAAAATCCCAAGCAGGACCTACATTACTCAGGAGGAAAAGGCACTCCCAGGACATAAGCCTATGAAAGACAGGCTTACTCTGTTGATGTGTGCCAATGCTAGTGGTGATTGCAAAGTGAAGCCTTTATTGGTGTATCACTCTGAAACTCCCAGAGTGTTCAGGAAAAGCAATGTCCTCAAGGCTAATTTGTGTGTGCTGTGGAGGGCAAACAGTAAGGCATGGGTCACTAGGGACTTTTTCTATGACTGGTTACACCATGCATTTGCCCCACTGTGAAAAATTACCTAACTGAAAAGAAATTAGACCTGAAGTGCCTCCTGGTATTAGACAATGCTCCTGGTCATCCTTCAGACGTGGCAGAGTGACTTTCTGCGGAAATGAGCTTCATTAAGGTGAAGTTTTTGCCTCCTAATACCACTCCTCTCCTGCAGCCCATGGGCCAGCAGGTCATTTCCAACTTCAAGAAACTGTACACAAAAGCTAAGTTTGAAAGGTGCTTTGTAGTGACCTCAGAAACTCAACTGACTCTAAGAGAGTTTTGGAAAGATCACTTAACCTTCCTCAATTGTGTAAACATTATAGGTAAGGCTTGGGAGGAAGTGACTAAGAGGACCTTGAACTCTGCTTGGAAAAAACTGTGGCCAGAATGTGTAGACAAAAGGGATTTTGAAGGGTTTGAGGCTAACCCTGAGAATCCTATGCCAGTTGAGGAATCCATTGTGCATTGGGAAGTCCTTGGGGTGGAGGTTAGTGGGGAGGATGTGGAAGAGTTGGTGGAGGAGGACAATGAAGAACTAACCACTGATGAGCTGCTAGATCATCTTCATCAGCATGAGGCCACACTGAGGAAACTGCTTCGGAGGAGTGGGATAGAGAAATTGAAGAAGTTGCCTACTTCTAAGATTAAGGAAATCTGTGCAATGTGGCTTAAAGTGCAAACCTTTATGGATGAAAATCACCCTGACACAGCTATTGCAAGCCGTGTTGGCAACCTGTACACTGACAATGTTGATGAAACACTTTAGAAATGTCATAAGGAACGGGAGGTACAGGCCTCTATGGACAGATATGTTGTGCGACAGAAGTCCAGTGACTCTCAAGCTGGTCCTAGTGGCATTAAAAGAACAAGGGAAGTAACCCCGGAAAAAGAGTTGCTACCTCAAGTCCTAATGGAAGGGGATTCCCCTTCTAAACACTAAGAAGATCCACACTCTCCCCTCCTCCCATCCCATCAATCATCACCAGATCTTCAATAAAGGTAAGTGTCATGTAACTGTGCATGTCTTCTTCAGTTTGTGTGTATTATAATTAATATTTCATGTGGTAAATTTTTTTTTCAATACTTTGGGGTGTCAGGAACGGATTAATTTGATTTCCATTATTTCTTATAGGGAAAATTAACTCGATTAACGATTATTTCGATTAACGATGAGCTCTCAGGAAGGGATTAATATCGCTGGTCGAGGGTCCACTGTACTTGTTTTACATACTTTCAAATGTTGAAAAAACGTAGATCTACGTTTGGACAGTTTAAGGGTTAATTAGTTAGGCAGAGAAGAATTACAGTTTTGGTATACAGCAGGGCCCTGCTTTATGGCATTTCGCCTCACAGCGTTCTGCAAATACAGCAATTTCAAATTATGACCAAAATTTGCCATACGACAAGCAGTCTTTTAAATATGGCGCACCCCACTCAGATTGTTTACATTCTCCATCAGCACATATCTCTATTATGTCTAGAAATTTTCCAAAATTTCAAGTGTTTTAACCCTTTTAGGGTCAGCAGGCCCTCTCCCAAACCTGTTCTCAGGGTCGGTAAAAATTCAAAAAAAAAAAATTATTATTTCTTATGAAAAGATAGCTGTTTTTTTTTCTAAATTTTATAGGCTAAACAAAAAATTTTTACCATCAATATTTACCGAGATATGGAGACGTGAAGTTGACAGAAAATGACCGGCATATGGTAACATCGCCAACTGCCGGTCACCCGGTATTAGTTTTTCTTTTTTCGGTACTATTTTCTATTATTTTTTAATTTTTTTCAAGTAGCTTTTATGGCCTGTGAGACCAATATGAGCACTATTTTGTAAGTTATTTCTTTTTTTATACAGTGGACCCCCGCATACCGTTGGCATCACATAACGTTAAATCCACATACCGATACATTTTATCGCTAAGATTTTGCCTCGCATACCGCTAAAAAACCCGCTCAACGCTATTCGTCCGAGACGCGTCTAATGTGCGGCCTGAGCCAGCCTCACATGTTCCAACGGTGGCATTGTTTACCAGGCAGCCTCCACGGTAACATCCAAGCATACAATCGGAACATTTCGTATTATTACAGTGTTTTTGGTGATTTTATCTGCAAAATAAGTGACCATGGGCCCCAAAAAAGCTTCTAGTGCCAACCCTGTGGTAAAAAGGGTGAGAAATATTATCGAAATACTGTGGTACCATGGTCAACTGCTGATGCTGCTGCTGCTGTAGCACTGTCAGCTGCTGCTGCTGCTGTAGCACCGTCAGCTGCTGCTGCTGCTGTACCACCGTCAGCTGCTGCTGCTGCTGTAGTACCGTCCGCTGCTGCTGTAGCACCATCTGCTGCTGCTGTAGCACTGTCAGCTGCTGCTGCTGCACTGTCAGCTGCTACTGCTGCTGCTGCTGCTGTAGCACTGTCAGCTGCTGCTGCTGCTGCTGTAGCACCATCAGCTGCTGCTGCTGCTGTACCACCATCAGCTGCTGCTGCTGCTGTACCACCATCAGCTGCTGCTGCTGCTGCTGTAGTACCGTCTGCTGCTGCTGTAGCACTGTCAGCTGCTGCTGCTGCTGCTGTAGCACTGTCAGCTGCTGCTGCTGCTGCTGTAGCACTGCCAGCTGCTGCTGCTGCTGCTGTAGCACCGTTGTTGGTGTGGCTTATTGAGAATACAAAGAAACAATTAACCCCAGAGGGTTAGCCACCCAGGATAACCCAAAAAAGTCAGTGTTATCGAAGACTGTCTAACTTATTTCCATTGGGGTCCTTAATCTTGTCTCCCAGGATGCAACCCACACCAGTTGACTAACGCCCAGGTGAACAGGGAAAAATGCCTGGAATTAGTGCTCATATTGGTGAATTTAAAGCCAGCAAAGGTTGGTTTGAAAGATTTAAGAATCGTAGTGGCATACACAGTGTGATAAGGCCTGTTCTGGAAGAAAATGCCAAACAGGACCTACAGTACTCAGGAGGAAAAGGCACTCCCAGGACACAGTGTCTCATCAGTCATTGCTGCATCTTCAATAAAGGTAA